TCGCCCTGCTTGCTGTTGGTGAGCCGCGTGTAGAACTTCCTCCACGAGTGCAGGGTTTTGCCCGACCATATCCAAAAGCCGGAGGTGATGCCCACGATGAGAGTCATGAGATACTTGATCATGTAGACGGTGAAATCGGGGGTCATGCGGGGGGTGAAGTGGAGCGGGCAGGGGATGGCCAAGCTCTTGCAGTTCTGGCTGATCCAGCTCCGCTCCCAGTGCTCACGGAAAGCCTGCTCGTAGAAATAGCAAGCGATGACGATGGTGGCCGGGACGGTGTAGAGGACGCTGAAGACCCCGATGCGAACCATCAGCCGCTCCAGCTTCTCCGTTTTGGTCCCTCCGTGTTTCATGATGGTGCGGATGCGGAAGAGGGAAACGAAGCCAGCCAGAAGGAAGGAGGTACCGATGAAGAGGTAGACGAAGAGCGGGGCCAACACGAAGCCCCGGAGAGGGTCGATGTTGTTGAGGCCCACGAAGCAGACGCCGCTGAGCAGGTCCCCGTCGATCTGCCCCATGGCCAGGATGGTGATGGTCTTGACGGCTGGCACAGCCCAGGCGGCCAAGTGGAAGTACTGGGAGTTGGCCTCGATGGCCTCGTGGCCCCACTTCATGCCGGCGGCCAGGAACCAGGTGAGGGAGAGGATGACCCACCAGATCGAGCTGGCCATGCTGAAGAAGTAGAGCATCATGAAGAGGATGGTGCAACCTTCCTTCTTGGTGCCCTGTACCACCGTGCGGTAGCCGTCCTCCTGGAAACGCTCGTTGCAGACCACCCTCTCCTCCAGCACGAAGCCGGCGATGTAGGCCACCGACACCATGGTGTAGCACCCCGAGAGGAAGATGATGGGTCGCTCGGGGTAGCGGAAACGCTGCATGTCCACCAGGTAGGTGGTGACGGTGAAGAAGGTGGAGGCGCAACACAAGACGGACCAGATGAGGATCCAGATACGGGCAAAACGGATCTCGTCCTCGTTGAAGAACATGTGGCCGTCGGGACGGGTGGGCTCGCAGGGCGCCGCGCAGTCCTTCTCGCCCAAGAACTTGTAGTTGAGGTAGCTGGGCACCTTCAGCACCCGCGGGCAGTGGAAGGGGTGATCGAGGGTGGCGTAACGAGGGGCGCCCGGGGTGCCCTGGCCGGCCAACGGCGTGGCACTGGTGAGCAATGCCGGCGAACCGCCGTCTTCTGAATGGTTCTGCCCCACGCAGATCTGCTCGGCGCCGTGCCGGGGGAAATTCTCACAGCGTAGTCGCTCCGGCCACTGGAAACCGAATTTATTCATGAGGGCTTCACAGCCCTGGCGTGCCCGCTCGCAGATGGAGCGGCACGGCGGGATGGCCTGCTCCAGCACCGTGCAGACCGGCGCGTACATGGAGCAGAGGAAGAACTTGAGCTCCAAGGAGCACTGGACCTTCACCAAGGGGTAGAACTGGTGGACCTCCAGCCCCGCGTCCTCCTGGTTGGTGTGTCCCAGCAGGTTGGGCATGATGGTCTGGTTGTAGGCGATGTCGGTGCAGAGCGGGATGGAGATGGGCTGGCAGAAGCCGTGGTCGGGGATGGAAATGCCCTTCTCGCCATGCAGCTGGCTCTGGCACGGCGCCGGCACACTCAGCCCCACCAG